CAAACAACCATTCATTCTCTCACTCACACCTAGGGACAATTTAGAGTTACCAATCAGCCTAACATGCATGTTTTTGGTCCGTGGGAGGAAACTGGAGCACCCGGAGAAAACCCACGCATGCACGGAGAGAACATGCAAACTCCACCCAGAAGGGCCCCTGGACCGGGATTTGAACCAGGGACCTGCTCGCTGAGAGGCAGCAGCTCTACCAGTTGTGCCACCGTGTAATAATAACGGCACCATTAATTGAAAATTACAAATGCCAAATAATATCCTCGAGCCTAAAACATTTACAGAACACTTTGTTTTGGTTACTTGAAATGATAATTCATCTACACAGTCTCATACTGAGTTATTTCAACAACATTACACTCTGCTGTATCATTATTTTTGCTTTTTGTTCTTATTTTGTTCAAATAAATGATATGTGAATTAACATCTAAGCCCAAACAGGGGATGACAGTGTTCTGTAACGCTCAGCCTCACAGCCGTGTCAGACAACAAAGACTTCTCCTTTGTCTGCTTCAACAAAGAGGATTCAAACCAGAAGTCAGACCATTACAGATTGCTTCCTCTTTCTTCGGCCACAGAGATTAATGGCATGAGTAAAGAGAGCCCTCTCTCACACAGGCACAATGTTTCTATTCTCTATTGTCTTTGTTTATGCTTTGTTGTTTCCTGACACATTCTGCTTCCACGCACCACTTTACACCGATTTGACAGTTTAGGAAAACCTTTTTTTACAGTTTCCACTGAAACGTTAGTTACCAACACAGCTGACGATGCACACATTTGAAGAAGCTTTTCCAGATGCATGCTCTGTACTCATTAGTCCAGGTCTGTTCGGATTTAGAGGATTGTAGCGTGAAGGCCTAAAGGTTTTTTGGAAAGGCCTTTACTGTGAACCTCGATCCTTTGAAGCTCGTGACCTGGGAGCAGAGGGGGCACACCACTGCCACATGGACACCCCACATCTCTGTTCACCTGCTTCTCCTGAGAGGATGGATCAAACACCAGATACAATCACAATCGCCTTTACACCTCAGCAGGTCATACACAGCTACTGCTGCACACACACCGAAAAATTTCAGCTTATAAAAAAAACTGCAGGGAAAGCTGCACATTTCCCACCCCAGACTGCATCATTAACCCTGCTGTATTCATTAATTTATCTTAATCTTTTACAAGACAAAACCAGTGACCCCTTAAACCCTGCAAGCTTCAACACTTTCCATTTATTTTATGCCCAGCTCTCCTAATTAAGCCCAACAACAAAAAGAAGAAGTGAGCAGGCTCTTCAGGGGTGATGATGGGACTCACCTTCCTCGTGTGAATGTTTATGAAGTGTTCATACAATGGACATCCATTTTTCTTCTGTTTTTCTGCATCTTTCTCATTCGACAATTTTTGTGCTATTTCAACAAATCATGAATCAAAACGTTCAGCTCGTTCTGGAGAAGGGTGATATGACTTTTGGTATTGGTGCAACTTTAGCTTTTTGAAATATTTAGCTTTTTATGACATTTGTTTTCTCATAGAAAATTAAAAGAGTTCATTTTCCATCCTTCATATCTTTAGATGTTTACAACATTTTACTGCTCCTTTCACATTTTGTTCTGCTTCAGCTTATTTCTTGTGCAAATTTAAACTTTTTTCAGCTACTTTCAGCTAATTTCAGCTGTTTTTTTCCAACTATTTTGTTCTCCTTTAAGATTATTTCTGTTAACTACAACATTTTTGTGCTTCTTCTAACTTCTTTCTGCTAATTTCAGCTTGTTATGCTCCTTTCAGCTTATTTCTGCTAGTTTTGACTTTTTATGCTATTTCAGCTATTATTTAGCTGTTTTAATGCTAATTCTAAAATTTTCAGCCAATTCCACATTTTTTGCACTTATTCCAAATTTTTTTCAGCCTAATTCAACAAAAATGTGCTCTCTCCACTTCAGTCTGGTAATGTAACCTTCTTTCTGCCCTTTTAGCTACTTTTCAGCTATTTTTTTTGTTGTTGTTGTTGCTCATTTCAGCTTTTTTCAAATAATTTCCACTTTTTTGTGCACATTTCTGCTTCTTTCAACCTAACTGGCCAAACATGTTTTTTCTGCTTTCTTTTGCTAATTTGAGCCTGCCTTACCCTCTCAGCTACCTTTTTAGCATTTTGTAGCTAATTTAATCTGTTTTCAGATAAATTCAAGTTTTTTTGTGGCAATTTCTAATTAACTTATTTCTGCTCATTTCAGCTTGTTATGCTAATCTTATATTTTGTATGCTAGTTTCAACATTTTCTGCTCTTTCAGCTACTATTTAGCTTTTTTTATGCTAATTTTAGCTTTTTCAGCTAATTCCACATTTTTTAGGTAATTTCAGCTCTTGCTGCTTCTTTCTGGTTGCTTTTTTTTGCCTTTTCAGCTACTTTTCAGCAGTTTTTTTTGTTGTTGTTGTTGTTGCTAATCTCAGCTTTTTAGTTAATTTCCCAGTCTTGGTGCTCAGTTCTGCTTATTTAAACCTAATTCAGCAAATATGCATTATTTGGGTTTTCTTCTGATAATTTATGCCTGCTCTTGCATTTCAGCTACAATTCAGCATGTTTATAGCTCATTTCAGATGTTTTTCTGCAAATTATTCAGCAATAAGCATTCACGCTGCATTTTCGCAGGAAATGCAGTTGCTCTAGTTCATTTTAAATCTGAACTGTGCCCTTCTCTCTGATCTAATAAACCTGAAAATTAAGCCTATTGAAGATCATGAAAGGAAGAATGTAAGAAAACATCTGCAGCCTTGGTCAGCTAGGCTGCACAGAGACACACTTGCATCGTAAAAGTGAGAAAAATAAAATAAAATCTGAGAAACTTTTTATCATTTAATTGCTTCCAAGTTTCTTCTTCTCCTTGCACTCCTAAATCAGTAAAGAGCGTCAGATGAGAGGAGAGATGGAGCTCTGCACAAAGCGAGGGGATGAGCCAGGAGAGATGAAAGGTAAGGAGGAGGACAGTTTGTTTAAAGCTCCACCTCAGGCTACAACAGGTCAAAAGACTGTAAGACAGGAAATTAGCCACACCTGAGGATTTATGGCTAAAAGCTCCTTGATGCTTTAAAGCTGCTGCAAAACATAAAAGCATCTGCATGCCTTAAGCTTCTGATTAAACTTGTTTTTTTACATTTGCTTAAAAATTTATCACTGCTTAAACTAAAACATATTCTGACCTTTCAGAGCAGATCTTGCTGAGACGTAACCTGCAGGGGCCGATGGCTCTGCCTGTTTGAGCCACAGCGGGCCTTTGTTTCACCTAATGTCCCCCGCTTTCATTTACAGCTATCTCTGCAATCTTCATATTAAGCTCATTCCCTCCCCCACTGTCTGTCTTTCCACCCCCCCATCATTCTTGTGCACCATGGTGGGATTTTGCTCAGCCTTCATTTATTTCCGTCTGTCAACTAGCCAGGAACAAAATCCTTCTCCAGCTCGGTGACAGGACAAAGGCCGCATGGTTTGAATAAATTACTCACACTGACACTCTGAAAAGGCTCGTGCATGCACACAACCTCCGCTCATCGTTTAGCTTTGCAGCATGCTAAGACCTAACAAACAACGTGAAATTTAAAACTGAAGATCAGGGTGAATGTTTCACTGCTGCAGTGCACAAGCAGGAACAGGAGGACTGAGGTAATATCTAAATTGTGCAATGTCTGGTGCGTTTTTATTTCAGCAGGATTTGTTCATGTTGATTCTGTCCAGATTGTCTGACTCTTCTGAAACTGGGTCATTTGAACCAACCTTCTGTGAGGCGTCGTGTTTCTGTTTGCTTCATGCCTCAAGACAAAAGGTCCTGCTGCGTGTGTCAACACAACATATTTATTCCAAGAACACAAAGTTTCACAGCTTTTGAGTTAATCCACACCAGAGCACACGCTTCATACTTCAGTGTCCTTCATTACGCTGCTCTCACATTGTCTACACTGTGAGAACACTTTGAGTGTTTAACACTGAAAGCTGCGAAAATACAGAAGAAAACCTCCTTACACATGGACGAAGATGAAGACAACATTTTTATTCTCAAATGGAACATTTTTTACAGACAGTCACATCCATCCGTCCATCTGTCTGTCCATCCAACCGTCCATCCATCCAGCTGACCGTCCATCCATCCATCTATTCATCCGTCCGTTCATCCATCTTTCTGTCCGTCCAACCGTCCATCCATTGTCCGTCCATCTATCCTTCCATCCATCCATCTGACTATCCATCCATCCATTCGTCCGTCCGTCCATCCATCATCCATCCATCTAACCAACCACCCATCCATTCATCCATCCATCAATCCATCCACCCATTCAAACGTCCATCCGTTTGTCTGTCCACCCATCATCCATCCATCCATCCGTCCATTCATTCATCCATCTATCCATTCGTCCATCCACCCATCCATGCATTCATCCATCCATCCAACCATCCAACTATCTGTCCGTCCAACCGTCCATCCATCTATTATCTTTTACCCACTTCTTCCTTTTTGGGTCATGGTGGAGATCACTAGTGTTCATGTCCACCTATCACTGTGTGAGAGGCGGGGGACACCCTGGACAGGTCTCCAGTCCATCACAGGGACACATAGAGACAAACGAGACAAACAACCATTCATTCTCTCACTCACCTAGAGACAATTTAGAGTTACCAATCAGTCTAACATGCATGTTTTTGGTCTGTGGGAGGAAACCGGAGTACCCAGACAAAACCCACGCATGCACAGAGAGAACATGCAAACTCCACCCAGAAAGATCCCATTTGATTTGATCCGGCAACCTTTCAACTTTCAACATTTTTCAACTGATCCACCGTGCCGCTTGTCACATTTCTTGACAAATGAATCGCAAGAATATTTTTAAGAAGTAAACAGAACAAACTATGTCAAAGACAGTACTTCTGTAATGATGGGTCGCTCCACTAGTGTGAGGTGTGTGTGTGTGTGTGTGTGTGTGTGTGGGGGGGCCTGTTTTAATCCTACCTGTCTCCATCGCCCTGTCCTGATGACGTATTCCGATGCAGCGTTTCTCGGACGGCAGCCATGCTGTCAGGCAGTCGGTTCAGGCGCCGAGTGTAGAGCCCCAAACCTCCGTCCGTCATGTAGCTGCAAAACACAACAAACTGCATCACAGAGCAGTTCTGAAACAAACAGGCCAGAGCGGGCGATGCACAGCCGAGCAGCTCAGCGCTAACTTTGAGTCAAACCGGTCCATTTTATTTATTTATACTTTTAATTCATGTCTTTAGAAGGTGGAACCCACATCCATTTAGCTTTCTGGTTGAGGCAAAGCTCCCATCAATCAGGACTAAAAGCTCCCACACCAGCACAGTCTGACCGGAGTCAGATCTTTCTCTCATGTGGTGAGCAGCAGCAGCCGTCTTTAATAGAGCTGCTCAGCAGACAGAGGATGAGCCGCCTGCTCTTTGCTCTGCAGGACGTGCACTCATCACTGGGGCCAGCTGTGCTGCAGGCTGTCAGATCCTGGTGGCCAGGAGTGACAGAAAACAAATACCTGTAAACAGAAGGTTAAGCAGGACGTTCGCTTCATTTTATGATTGGAAAATATGACTCAACGAACTCTGAAACTGACCGTTACAGTGTGAAACAGATGCTGAGGCGCTGAGCTTGCACAAACAGCCCCAGCCTAACTGAAACAACACTGAGCCCACGAGTATTTCCCCGCAGGGCAGATCACTAATGAACTGAAATGTTGACTCTGCTCAGGTGAAACTTAAAGCAACGTTTGACGATTTAAAGTCGAGGCCCGGACGGTCGAGCGGTGAATACTTTCTTTGTGCGTCTGTGGAGATTCTGTTTCTGCTGCTGAAGCAGGAAAAATAAACGAACCGCTAAAATACTTTCAGCGCTATCATCAAGACGGAGCATGCACACAAGTACACATTTAGATCGAAACGTCTGTAAAGTACACACACAGACAGAGGCTCTACAGTGATGTCAAACTGCATCAACATCTGGATTTGTTTGACATTTATATTGAAATGTAGTGTTTTATCAGCAAATATCAAAGCAACAAATGCCAACGAACGTTAAACTCAAGAGTAAAATGTGTAAAGAATCTCAGGCCATTTGTTAACAAGTTGTTTTTTACAAGAAATTTAAAAAAAGCATTTATCCTCTTGATTGTATTTAAGATATTATTAGGGTAAAACTGAATTCCTACTTAATAAAAGGGGTCAGCATCAATCATCAACGTGTGAAGTCACCTTGGAGATGACCAGACAGACACTTTACTCCTGAGCTCCTGTCCTCTCATCTCCAACACTTGCTAACCTGTAACCCTCAGCAGGAGAGACGTGTCCAGACAGGACAGCTTCCAGGCTGAGATGAGCAGCCAGGTAGAGTTGACAGAAACAAATGGAAGAGCAGAGAAATGATGTGGCTTTCTAACGATGCATGCTGCAGGCAGGAGAGAGGTCCACACAATGTCATGCTTTTTCTCTGAAGAAGAAAAGGACAACTGTCTCTCCCAGGTCCTCTGACTCACACACGTACCTGTCTGCCTTGAACATGTTAATCCAAAGTACACAAGTCCACGTAAGAGCTGGTTCCTGCAGAGTAAAACCTTCTAACGAACGAGTCTGTTCAACCGTTTGATGTTGTCAGGAAGAGCCACGTGCAGGATCAGCTCTCGTGTGAACAGTCATAGTGACAAAAGAAGTCTGTTAACTGTCCAAGTGCAATGTCAGTGGGCTGCTCTGCGAGCGCTCAGTGTCTCTCTGCTCTGCTCCACAGGCTTTTCTCTCCTGACTGGATGGAGGTTGGGTCTGTCTGTGGAGGGTGGAGGAAGGAGGGAGAAGGGCAGACTGATAATTCAGGCAACACTCCCCCCGAGCAAAGGAGTGAAGCGGGTGGCCCCGCTGTCTTCTTGGCTCAGGGAAATCAAACAGATGAAAAGAGGAGGGTGTTCTGCATGGAGGAAAAGAACACTGGAAAACTTGACGTCAGTCAGAGGACAGCACGGTAAATATATAAGTAGAGAAACTGCAGAATGAATGCGTATTGCTCAAGAATTTGCTTTAAAAAAAAGAAAACAGCTGAAATTAACTAAAACATGCTGAAATGTAGCTGAAACAGCAGAACAAGTCCAAGTTAGCAGAAGAAAGCAGAAAGAACACTTCTTTACTGAATTAGGTTTAAATAAGCAGAAATCAGCACAAAAATTAGGAAAGTAGCTAAAAAAAAACATATTAGCAAAGAAAATAGACGAAAAGTTGCTGAAAAGGCAGAAAGAAGCTTAAACTACCAGAAAGAAATGGAAGGAGCTGAAATGAGCTCAAATAATATGGAATTAGCTGAAAAAACTAAATTTAGCACAAAAACAGCTAAATAGTAGCTCAAATGTCAGAAAAAGCAGAAACTATCAGAACAAGCTGAAAGGAGCATAAATAGTTGAAATGAGCATGAAGAAGTTAATTAGGCGCAAAGAAGCAGAAATTACCACGAAAAACTTGAATTTACCTTACAACAGCTGAAATTAGCTAAAAAAAATGCTAAAAGGAAGCTGAAAGGCTAGAACAAGCTTAAAATAGCAGGAGAAAACAAAAAGAAGACATTTGCCCAATTAAAAAGAAAGAAAGAAAGCAGAAATGCGCACAAGTGGAAATTACCTGAAAAAACTGATATTAGCAAAAACAACAGCTAAAATAGTAGCTGAAATAGCAGAAAAAACTGAAACTAGCAGAACAAGCTGAAAGGAGCATAAATAGCTGAAATTAGCATGAAGATGTTAATTAGGTTGAAAGTAGTGTAAATTACCATGAATAACTTGAATTTATCTGAAAACAGCTTAAATGAGCTTAAAAATGCTAAAAATAAATAAATAAATAAATAAATAAAAAAAGGTAGCTGAAAGGCTCGAACAAGCTTAAATCAGTAGAAGAAAGTAGAATGAACATGTTTGACCAGTTCAGTTGAAAGAAGCTGAAATGAGCACAAAAAAGTGGAAATTATCTGAAAAAAGCTGGAATTAGTAAAAGCAACAGCTAAATAGTAACTGAAATAGTATAAAAACCTGAAACTTGCAGAAATAAGCAGAAAGGAGCACAACAAGCTGAAATTAGTAGAAAGAAGTTAGAAGAAGTATAAAAATGTTGTAAGCAGAAAGAAACTGAAAGATCACAAAACAGCTGAAAAAACAGCTGAAATTAGCTGAAAATAGATGAAAAAAGTTACATTTGCACAAGGAAGCTGAAAGAAGCTGAAGCAGAACAAAATGTGAAAGGAGCAGTAAAAGGTTGTAAACAGATCTAAAGATGTGAAGGATGGAAAATGAGTTCAATTTATTTTATATGAAAAAAAGTGGAAGAAAAGGCTAAATATTTCAAAAAGCTAAAATTGTACCAATGCCAAAAGTCATATCAGGATTGTTCTGAAAGAGCTGAACATTTCGATTTATGATTTGTTGAAATAGCTTGAAAACTGCGGGACGAGAATGATGCTGAAAACACACGGAAGAAAAATGGATCACAATAGTGTGAATGCTTCATAAACATTCACACTAAGACATCAACCAAAATGGTTATGTCACTTTAGACACATGATCTCCAAAATCATGTTTCATTTAAATCATTAAAATAAACATTTGTACTTTTAAATTTTGACAGTGCACCACTTCATTACATTCATACATTCTCCGAAATGTTCTCTTTTCTATTCTTAAAAGTGTTGTAAATTGTGACCAAAACATTTTTATTATAAAAATGATGGACAAGTTACAAGAGTGTAGAAGAAAAGCCTAAAAAGGATTTGAACAATGAGCTGGCAGTCGAAGGGTCACTTCAAACAAATCTCCTAAAAAATTCAGGTTTTAGCCCCGAGGTTAAAACAATTTGAGGTGTTTGCAGCACTGAAGACCTATTCATTGTAGGATTAGTCAGGATTAGTGTGCACACAGAGGTGACAGGATTATTCATAGAAAATTCAGGGATTTATGTATTTCTAATGTGCACAATGCATATAAAGTTTGACAAAGCTTTATATACACTAAGTTGGGAACCAACAAGAAGACAACTCATCTAGGAGACGTTAGGAAGCTAAAGCAAGAAGACGTGAACTGTGAGTGCCAGCTCCTCTCTGGGTAAACACCCCCTCTGTGTGTGGAGGAACCAGTGGTGCAACGCTCGTGATAGAGAAAACCACAAAACGGCTCGAGGTTGTGGGGGGTCATCAGTTTGTGTGTTTTAAATGGTTAACCCACAGAGTGACTCCGCCCACTGAGTGCACTCACATGCCCGTACCACACACACAGCTCCTCAAACTCACACTTTCTGCACTTTCCACCCCCACCTCTCCCCCAACAACAAAGAGCCTGATAACATGGTTCCATTTGAATAAAAGCTTGTTTGCATGTCATCCATCATTTCATCCCTTAGGTTTAGCTGAGACACCTGGGATACGCTGCGCATGAAGCACACGCACACTTAAAAAGCCTTTTCAGCAGAAAATTAATGAACATGGGTAACATTTCAGTGACAAGTCATTTGTCAACTCGCTTCAGATTCTGAGAAAAGAGGATTGGTGGTTATTCTCTGTCAGGTTTATGAACGATGAATCATGTTGAGCAGGATAAAAGAAAAATGATATGCTGAAGTTCAACTGTAACTGTCTGAAATCAATCAATGGTAATTATTTCATCATTTTAATACAGTAGTCCCTCAATAACAAAGTCCATGCTCAATAATCCAGGTATACAACCCAACATTTTTCAGTCAGATCATCTGGACAGTTTCGTTTTTTGTGCTGAAACGTTTCGCCTTCGATCCAGAAGGCTTCATCAGTCAAGGAAACGCACAACAAAACGGATTCTTCCCCCAACAGCTTAATCCAAAGTGGAACAAACTAGTTATGTTGGTGCTAAGATGGTCTTTGTCACGCCCCCTCCTCCATTGCCGGCCCTCTTCCTTGTTGACAGTCGTGTCAAACTGGTTGAAAACAACAAAGTCCATGCTCAATAATCCAGGAAGAATCAGTTTTGTCATGCGTTTCCTTGACTGATGAAGCCTTCTGGATCGAAGGCGAACCGTTTCAGCACAAAAAAAGAAAGTGTCCAGATGACCTGACTGAAAAATGTTTGTCCCTCAATACTTTACGGTTCCACATTTGCAGATTCACTCTTTAGTGGGTTTTCAACATAAGAGTGCACACGACATACAATTGTCAACTTTTATATTACTCTTGTGATTGGGACGGTATGGGATTAGAAGTTAACGGGAGCGGGTATAAAAAACAAAAACAAACAAACAAACAAAAACAATCAGACAGGCTCCGCCATTTTGTAGTTTTCTTTCAATAAGCCTACTCTGTACCACACGTCAAAATAACTACATGGCCCAGAAGCCAACAGTGCTTCCTGCCGCTGTTCTCTGCCAAAATTCAAAGAACAGCAATGGAGGGAGCGAACAGTAGAGGAGAAACTGATGTGGTAAAAATAGTTGTTCAACACAAAGTCAGAAATAACAATGTATCTATGAAAATCACAGAACTGTCAGGAAAGACACAAATAATCCTGAAGCTGAACTCATCCTTCAAGTTGTATCTTCACTGGTGTGTACTCATGTAAAATTTTGCAGTACAATAGTCTCTCGCTACTTGGCGGTTCATTTGTCGCTGTCTTGCGCCATCGCGGTTTTTCAAAATAAGATTGTACACGACACACAATTGGCTGATTGATGGATGAGCCGCATGATCGGCATGGATTTGTTATTTTAAATAAATGATTTGAAATAATTTAGCACCTGCTGCATCTTTGTGCAGCCCACAGCCGCAGAAAAAGCTTCCTCCTGCACTATGTCATATCTCTGCTTAGCAGCGGAGAAGTGGGCGTGGCTAAAAGCACTGGCAGGTGGCAGAGAGCAGTCGTGCTTTTTCACTTATCGCGGGGCTTCAGGGTACGGATTCCCCGCAATAAACAAGGGACTACTGTATTGTATAGTACATACATGCATGTTGTTAAAATTACTTAGGTTTAAGTCAAGTCAACTTTATTTAAAGAGCACATTTAAAACAGAAACTGTTATCAAAGTGCTTTAGAACATTGTTAAAAACATTGCAAGAGTGGGAGAAGGGTTTATAATGCCTTAAATTATATAAAAATTACTAAAATAAATATAACGTTCCTACTTTGCGGTTTTTCACTTATCGTGGTGGTGTGTGGAACGTAACCCCTGCAATAATCGAGGGACTACTGTAATACTTTTTCTTTTTTCTTTCGGCTGCTCCCTTCTTCAGGGGTCACCACAGTGAACTAAGTCGCACAAAGACATGGTAATTATTTTTACGCTGGATGTCCTTCCTGACGCAACCACTGACCACCGAGCTACCACAGCTCTCTGTGTGGAGCAGAGAGCTATATCTAGGGTGCCTGGGGGAGCAGATGGTGGGGGTTAAGGGCCTTGCTCAAGGGCCCAGAGTGAGGCAAAGAAGGCTGGAGGCAGGTGTGGGTGCTTCACCTTTTCCACCCTCATTTTATGTTGGAATGGGGAGTCAAACTGGCGACCTTCCAATCACAGGCCCACCTTCTTTAACCTCTGCACCACCACTCCCCTATTTACATATAATACATAAATATTACTGGCATTTTTTGTCATTTATTCATATTGGGGATCTCAGAGCCAGAGAACTTCTACCTGTTCAGGTGTGGTCGGCTTTTGTCTGCTGAAATATGGGTCCAGTCATATCAAGTGCCTAAAAAGCTCTTAGTTCCCTGCTTGTTAAAATGCCTTCAGGCCAGTGGATCAACTAAAACATCCACACTCCTTTTCAAACATTTCTGCTTTTTATTACCTTTACTTTATTTAGCTGAATTTACTTTTGCATTTGCATTCATCTACATTTACAATAAGTCCTAATGCAGCCTCACTGCGATTCATTCATTCATACTTTCTGACGTTTTGATGCCATCTGAACAACCTCAACACCTTTTACTGCTTTGCTTGTTATTACTGAGGAGGGCTGTAGCTAACTCAATAAAACCAGCTGAAGTATGCAGGGAGCCTGTTACAACATGGACAGTGGCTTTAAGAGAAAAAATAAGAAGCTTATGAGAACATCATCACTTTAAAAGAGAGCTGGGAGACTTGTGGGATCTGTACTACAATGATTAATGTGTGATGTCACAGAGACTCCATAGCATTATTTATGACAGCAGGTGGTGGATCATTGAGGGGCACCACTGCCCTCTTCTGGTACTCACTTAACTGAAACTCAACAAGTAAAGTTTCACATTGATGAATAAAATCTTATCAAGTTCTCTGTTGATCAGCTAAACTTTGGATAAAAAAAATATTGATCTTATATCTGCTTACCCGCTGGTGACATCATCATTGCGCACAACGTTCTTGCTCAGCACGTCTCCATCACTCATGTACCCGGTGACCTCCATGGTGCTCCCATCCAGCTCCATTTCCTCCCCAGCTCTGTCTCCAAGGTCCACGCTGCACAGAGCTCCTCCCCTGCCCGCCAGCTGTCGCCGCAGGTGCCCAGGGTACAGGTACCGCCCCCCCTGTCCGCCAACCACCCGGCTGCCGTAGCCGTTTCCCACAGAGGGGGCATCACCCGCCTGCAGACGGGGGCTTGATTGGCCCAGTCGCCATGGTGACAAAGAGGAACGGGCAGAAGTAAGGCTGAGGATGCTTCGACCACCTCCACTGTTGTTGTTGGTACCACATCCGCTCCCACCACCGCCGCTGATATCTGTGGTGACGCTGCCGTCAAAAGTCGTTTCAAGGGGGCTGGCACCAGAAATAACAATAAATAAATTAATATTTAAAAAGATTCAAATGTAGCGCACAAGCTGACACCAATTAAACGTTCTCTTACAAAAATCACATTTTTACAGACAGACTTACCAATTTCACAATGAGAATTTAGTTGTGGGGTCAGATTTAGACACTTTGAAAGGCCAGAGAACAAAAATATGTAGAAGTAATGATGGCCTGAGAGTGCACGTTGTAACTGCACTGACGACGTGACATGTGGGAGGAGATATAAGAAGGTAGCAGACCAGGAAGTGATTTATAGATGAAAATGAACCAGTGTGAGAGCCTACATGTAGATAATGATGACCAACTGACAAAGGAGTACAGAGTGCAGTGATGGTACAGTAGTTACAACCAGTTATGAATTGTAGCACGCCATGGTGGACAGCATCCAACGTCAGAGTCAGAGAGATTTATTTATCATACGCACCACATGTGGTACATGTGGTGGAACGAGATTATATACACAGGGCCCCAGTTACATCCAACAATTAAATGTAAAAGAGCCTCGGGGTGTCTGTTCCGCAGCGAGCCGATGACATCATCACTGCGGGAGCTTCATGATGTC